ATACACGTGATCTAGAGATGAACAATCAGTGAAGTCCTTATTCCTCCTGAGCTATTTCCTGGCAGCATTTCTATCAGCTTTGTGTGCTTTTCTGAGCTCTAACCAGAATCTCCCATCAAGTTCAGCTTACAACATTCTAGGACTGATTCTTTATCCACCATCTCCAAACCTTCCCAGATTCTTTCCACAAGCCATCCAAAGGCTCCTGAACCACATGGCCAAATAACATGACCTTAACAACCCTACTTCTTTGGTACCAAAATCTATGTATCAGTCAGTGCTCACTAGAGAAACAGATTTAATGTGAGATACGAAAATACACAAGGATTTACAAGATAGGCTTATAAAGGCTACCCAGTGAGTTAGGTGTGGGAGAGTACAAATGGTCTGTCTGCATGTTGGAGGATCTAGTTGAAGACCTGGAACTCACTGTAGCGTTTCGTGTGAGTTAGTATCAGAAGGCTGAAAATTCTGTGCTGGAAGCCAGGATATGATGTCCAAGGTGAAGGTGAAGACAAGCTCTTCCAAACACACAGAAATGACCTTCCTTCTTCATTTCCCTTTTATTCCATTCAGGTGACAAGCCTACCTAAGGTGGGTCTTCTGTTTTCAGTAAATCCCCTCAGCTACAACCAGAACTGTGCTGATCCAGTTCAGTTAGGTGTTTCTTACCCAAATTGACACAGTTAACTACCACAAATAGCTACTTTCCTCCTCCACCCTACCTGTCCCCACCCCATAAAAACAAAAACAAAAATGTTTCTTCCTGCATAGTAGCAGTAAGTCTGAAAGTGAAGGTCTAAGTTAAGAACATTTCTTTTTCTTAATAATGATGCTGGCTGAAATAAGTTAACAATAAAAAAGAAGAGAAAGAATTATCTTAGACCAATGGATTTCACACTTCAATTACAAGCACCTGAAGAATTTTTTTTCACTGCTAAGCTCAATCCACAGATTCCACAGTGCTGTTTTAAGAGATAGCCAACAACTTCCCAGGGGGTCCTGATGCTGTTAAATTAGGCACCACACTTTGAGAATTGTCACCTTTAGTTAACCTCAACCAGAAGTCTGATTATTTCATTTATGAGCTTGTTAGGGCCTACCGCTTGCATAGCCAGTGACCTACACTTAGAAAATATAGTGTGCATGCCTAGACAGCAGACTTACTAAGTAGTATTTTTTTAACTTTCTACCTTTCCATACTACAGAGGTGTCTGTTAAGATGTTTGCTTTTGATTCCAATTTTTTCTTTAAAAATAGATTCAAAACTCACTGACCTAATAGTTAAATTTGAATGGTATTGATTCTTCAGCTTTCTCCTGCCAGTGATAACTTCATTTCTCTACTTCTCTCTATCTTTTTGTCTTGATCTCACTTAATTTTTTCTAATATAATTTTGGAAATTACCAACATAAGTTGCCTGTTTATTTTAAGTTGATTTTGTTTTCTGTTTTTTGTCCTCCCGTATAATTTCTCAAAAATAGAAAATTGACATTTGGATTTTTTTTCTTACAGATAAACACAGTTTTTGTAGAATTGACTCCTTAGTTTGAATTGTTACTACCTCACAGATCCTTAGCATCCTCTGAAACAGGTTTAAAAGAGATGAAATGCTTTTTTTCAAACTTTTGTAAGTCCTTTTTCCTTGTTAGAGTAATTTTTAAAAGGAGGAAAATTAGGGGCTAGGGATTTAGTTCAGTGGTGCTGCCACCTACCTCACAAGCACAAGGACCTGATCTATCAC